GGATCATATTCAATACATAAATGTATTAGTGTAACTAATAAGTCAAGACAAACTGTACCGTTAATACTATAACCGTTTAGATGGGGTGTTCATTTTCATCTAGGTCGTGAACCACAATTCTTGTTTCGCCAGTGACTGATAAAATGATATCCGGTTCGCTCGATGACGACCCACTCTATCTAAGTGCAAAACAACAAAACATACAGCTTGTTTAATCGAACATGATTCTCATTCGTAAAGGGTTAAAAGTGTAATATCATCCAAAGTCAAGATTTTAGTATATAACACTAACAGTAATACAGTGAAGTTATACATTAACAGAACAAAATCATCTATTAGCATGACATATTGTCATCCCTAAAACTGCAGGCTTATAGACACAAAGTTGTCATCTATTAACATGACATAATGTCATGCCTAAAAATGCAGGCTTGTAGACACAACATTGTCCTTGTAGGCACGACTAATGTTGTGTCAATAGTGTCGTCAATTTATAGACACGACTATTGTTTGTCGTTGCTATAATTTTTTTAATAGGCAGGACTTCATTTTTCTGCCTATTTTGTCGTTCCTATTAAGCTTGTTTCTTGTAGTAAGTGCAAAGCTACACTAAGCTTTTCAGCTCAATCAGCCAGCAGTGTAAGTGCAAAGCTACTTATGGTGTCATTGAAGAAACTGAAGCTTATGCAACCTAAGGTGCATTAATATTCTGATTGTTTCCTGAAAAATAGCGACTACTCGGACTAACCAGCCAATGCAAAGACCAAAATTGTAGAATTAGTAGGCGGTCCCAAAATATGGAAATTAAAAAAAAAAAACAAAACAAAACAAAGCACAAAACACAAAATGGCCGAACCTCCTACGTTTTCATCTTTACACATTGGACAAGTGTTGTAATACCGATGAAACAATTTGGACTTTAGGTGTTGTCCTAAACAGCCTAAAATCATTATTTTCTCATCACAAGAAACACCCTAAAAATATCAGCAACTTTCAAAGTTCGTACGTGGACTGGACACACTATTGTAAAACATGCAACACTGCTAATACAAACAAATTAAACACCAGGCCACGCCCAAGTTCACAGTGCTCGCCACAATCGTACCTACAAACTGTTAAAAGATGAGCAACCCTATCATTTGGTCAACTGCAAAAGAAAATATGATCACATCAACAACGTGTTGCATTTGCATGCCCCGCAACAAGGAACATTGATCTAGGAGGAATCTTCATATAATGACAAAGCTTGAAATCACTAAGAAAAGCAATTGCTTCGACATGCTCATGTACCCATACACCATGAAGCAGACATTAACAATCGGCCTCCCGGGATATATCATCCCCATAAGGTACTCTGTGATTATATTCAGGCCCGGGGTCTATACATAAATTATATTTCATTAATATTATCAAATCTTCTTGCGGGTTTTTTTTTTTCAGATGGACCTTGCTTAATGAAAAAGACGTGTATGTAATGTACCTGATTCATAGCTGCAGTAATAATGCTGACAGGAAGAGTGAACGAGAAAGCGATCAAAGCCGCAAGCAAAAGTGCCCAAAACTGCATCTGAATTTTCTTTTTCAAGAATACGCACAGGGCAAGCGAGACCACAAATGTCAAAGCAAGAAGAATGTAAAACCAACAAGAAGGTACATCTTTGTACTTCTTCATGAGTTTGGTATGAATGTCACTCTTGCCCTTTGAAGATGCCCTGTATCTTTCGTATATCTCCCTGTATATTCATTCAATAATAAAGTACAAAAGAATATATTTCCAAATATATAGAAATAAAACAGAAAATAAAAAATATACCTTCTGTAAAACAAAGCAACATGTGTCACGGTAGATGCAATCGTAGCAAATCCGAACCCATATGTAAGAGAAAAAAATGTGCTCAAATGAATCCCCCTCAGCTCTCTATACCAATCAACATCTAGCTCAAATCTACAGTCCACGATGGCCATTATATTATACTCCTGACCATCAGCTGTAAGAAGGTCGGCCGAGTATATGGGGAAGTTCTTGGCATTTCACACGTTCAAGCCCCAATAGGAAATGGGTATCATACATTATCACGAAATATCCCATGAAAACATTGGCGATGGCAAAAAAGGGGGAGACGAGTGGGCTGAAGAGGAAGGAGGCCACAGTGGCCCAGTCGAGCGTGAAAGAAGGTACTTTGTTGACATGTATGGAACTTTCAATTCTCCCCTTTCCATGCAAGTTCTGAACAAGCATTCCTACTATGTCTCTGCATAGCTTAAGCTTATCCAGTGTAACCGCTTTTGTCAGCATGTCTGATGGATTCTCCTTCGTATTGATCTTCACTAATTTCAACAGTTGTTGATCAATCTTCTCGCGTATCTAGTGATACCGAACATCAATATGCTTTGTGCGGGCATGGTACATAGAGTTCTTGCTTAAGTCAATAGCACTTTGACTATCACAATATACCTTATACTCTTTCTGCTTAATCCCAAGTTCTTGGAGATAACACTTTAGCCACAACATTTCTTTACCACCTTTAGCGGCAACAATATATTCAGCTTTTGTTGTGGATAAAGCAACACACTTTTGCAATCTTGATTGCCAAGAAATGGCTCCCCCTGCAAAAGTGTAGACATAACCTGAAGTAGACTTTCGATAATAAATATCTTCGGCCATATCAGCATCAGTATATCCTTCCAAGACTGGATCAGCTCCCCCGTAACAGAGACATAACTTAGAAGTACCCTTCAAGCGTCTGAGAATTCATTTGACAGCCACCTAATGCTCCTTCCCGGGGTTGGAAAGAAAACGACTTACTACACCTACTGCATGAGCAATATCTGACCTTATACACACCATTGCATACATCAGACTTCCAACTGCTGAAGAGTATGGCACTGCAGACATCTCTCCCATCTCTTCCTTGGATGTTGGACATGATCTTTTGCTCAACTTAAAATGATTCCCAAGTGGCACTGCAGACTTGATGTATGGCACTTGCCGTTTTCTCGGTCTCGAGTAATCTACATCCTTAGAATCTGTTGAGCCTTTCCTAAATCTTTCATATCAAAAGACTTGGAAAGTTATTTCTTCAGCTGACTGATCTTCTGTCTGCATTATTCCCAACGATCAACATGTCGTCGACGTACAGTAGAAGAACTATGAAAGCCCTGTTTCAGTATCTCTTGATGTAAACACATTCATCTGCAGTAGTCTTCTTGTAACCTTGACTCTTCATGCATAAGTAAAACTTTTTATTCCACTGCCTTGGTGCTTGCTTCAGACCATACAAGCTTTTAGATAGCTTGCACACGAGGTACTCACTTGAAACTTCAAAACCTTCTGGCTGCTGCATATAGATTTCTTCATTCAAATCTCCGTGAAGAAAAGCTGTCTTCACATCCATCTGTTCAAGCTCCAAATTCATACTTGCTGCCAAGCCAAGTATGACTCGAGTTGATGTCATCTTTACAACTGGTGCAAAGATCTCGTCAAAATCAATCCCTTTCTTCTGCTGAAAGCCTTTGACAACTAATCGAGCTTTGTGTTTCACCACTTGTCCATTTGCATCTTTCTTCAGCTTGAACACCCATTTGTTTTTCAAAGCCTTTTTCCCTTCTGGAAGTTCAACTATCTCATAAGTTTGATTTTTCTGCAGAGAATCTAACTCTTCCTGCATCGAAGCCATCTATTTTTCTTTATCCTTATGAGATATAGCTTCTTGAAAACTCTCTGGTTCTCCATCTTCTGTCAATAAAAGGTATTCAGATGATGAGTACCTTTTTGATGGTATATGACCCCGTTTAGATCTACGAGTGGGTAGAACCATCTTAGAAGAACTCCCAACATTGGTGTCTGGCAAAATGGGTTGTGGCTCCCCTTGCTCTGGCAATATGGGTTGTTGCTCCCCTTGCTATGGCAATATGGGTTGTTGCTCCCCTTGCTCTGCACTCTCTTCTGTCTCCTCCTCTTCTAGTGCATCATCTTCATTGTTTCTCCGAAACAATTCTAGTGCTCCATCTGAAACTTGAGCACCCACATTTGACTTTTGAGACATCTTGGGCTTTTCGATATATTTTATTGTCAAATTTTCTTGGAACACAACGTCCCTACTTCTGATCACCTTTTTCTCCTTTGGATCCCAAAATCTGTATCCAAACTCTTCAATTCCATAACCAATGAAAATGCATGGGATTGACCTCGCATCGAGCTTTTTTTCTGAGCTCTTTGGATACATGTGCATATGCAACACAACCAAATACTCTGAGATGTGAATATGTCGGATCCTTACCAGTCCATATTCTTTCTGGAACTTCAAAATTTAATGGAACTGAAGGTGATCGGTTGATTAGATAACATGCGGTCTTGACAAATTCTCCCCAAAATGGCTTTGGTAATTTAGCCATATTCATCATGATTCGGACACGCTCCATGATAGTCCGATTCATTCTATCAGCAACGCCGTTGTGCTGAGGGGTACGTGGTACTGACTTCTCATGTCGAATGTCATATGTCCTGCAATATGCATTGAACTCCTTGGAAGTATACTCGCCTCCATTATCAGATCGGAGGCATTTCAACTTCTTTCATGTTTCACGTTCCACCATGACGTGAAATGACTTGAAGTACTCAAAAATCTGGTCCTTCGTATTCATGAAATATACCCACACCTTTCGAGAAGCATCATCACTGAAAGTCAGAAAATATCTGCTTCCACCCAGTGATTCAACCTCCATAGGACCGCAAACATCAGAGTGTACCAAGCTTAACAACTCTGATCTCTTTGTTGAATTGGTATTGAATGAGACTCTATGCTGCTTGCCGAACTGACAATGACTGCAAGAGCCCATCGATGCACTCTTATCAACCTTGATAAGATCCTTCTTCATCAGGGTAGTCAACCTTTTCTCACTCATATGGCCAAGTCTCTGGTGCCACAAATCCTGAGAAGCCTCCTCTGCAACATTGAGACTTTCTGTACTAATCTTCAAATGTGTTTTGTACAGCGTCCCACAAACATGTCATGGGGCAATTTTCAAGACACCCTTTGACAACTTCCATGTGTCTGTGCCAAAGTGATTTTCATATCCTTTTTTGTCAAGAGCCACCACTGACAAAAGATTCAGCCTAAGATCTGGCACACGTCTGACATCCTTCAACAGGATTGTACTCCGGGTTCCTGTCATTGCCTGGATATCACCAATTCCAGCAATTTCAGAGGAACTGGAATTTTCCATCTTCACTGATCCAAAGTCTCCAGCTTTGTATGTTGTGAAAAATTTTCTGTTGGGAGTAACGTGATATGATGCTGCAGTATCTACCACGCATTCAATGTCTTCTCTTGAGACATGAATGCACGTCTTACCATGGTTAGAGCAATATGCTACATCACCTGAGACAGTGATAAGAGTTTCACTACTCTTGTCCTTGTTCTTCTGCTGAGAACTATTCTTCGACTGAGAATTGCTCTTGCCCTGCTCCTCGAGCCACTCCTCTACCACTTTTTTGTTGCTTGCCTTGTGGTCTTCCTCGATTTTCCATCACAAGGGCATGGGTCTGATCTGTGCCCATGTCTTTCCTTCTTGCCTCTTCATTTAATAAAGCATCCTTCACAACTGACATGGAAAGTTTGTCGTTTGAGACTGAATTGCTGAGAGTAACAACGAGTGTTTCCCAGCTATCAGGAAGGTAACTAAGAAGTAGCAGACATTGCATTTCATCTCCAAGCGGCATCTCCACACAAGATAGCTGATTTACCAGGCTCTGGAACTCACGGTATGCTCGACAACAGAAGTTCTACTTTTCAACTTCATATTGACTAAGCGCCTCATTAATAAGGCCTTATTCCGAGCGGTCTTGGCTTGGTACATGTCCTCCAGCTTCCTCCAAAGGACATATGTGTCGGTTTCTTGTGCAACATGATGGAAGACACTATGGTCTATCCATTGTCGGATTTGACCAATAGTTTTTCTATTGATTTTCTTCCATTCTAATGCCTTGGACGGATCGGAGTTAATACCCTTCAGCTCTATTGGGTCAAAGAGCTCTTTACAGCTGAGGAAATCTTCCATCCGAGGTTTCCACAGCGTATAGTTGGTAGCCGTGAGCATAATCATAGCTCCAGAAGATGAAGTTGACTCTTCCATGGCCATTTTACACCTTCAACGATCTGTTTGGGACAAATTGAAGCTGAATTTTGAAAAATAGACAACACCGTTGCGTCCGGAACAATTGAAAATGGGGGGAGGTTTTTTTTTTGCGATGACGTGGCAATTGACCGATTAGGTGGCGGTTGACTGGGTAACATGGCAGCTGACTGGGACTGCTGACGTGGCATCTGACTGGGCCTTCTTTGCTGATGTAGCGATGGCGTGTCAGATGATGTGGCGACACGTCATCATCTTCTTCCTCAAGATTTTTTTTTTTCTTTTCAGAACTTCAGAAGGCTTTTCGGGGCAGCTCCGATGTCCATTTTTTGCCCGTAAGATATCACCGTGACCGTCTCGACGAGAAGAATCTAATGATGTCCTCAGAATTGAATTTCGAAACTCGAAATTTCTACAGAAGCTCGGAAAAATTCAAATTAAGCTCGAAAGCTTCAAACCAAGCTCTGATACCACTTGTTGTAGTATCATCCCCAGACCATAAATATAATTGAGAGAAAAACAAGTTTCTATTACTCACAAGAATAAAAACAAGATATTTACAAATTCTAAACAAAAACTCTCAAACACTCCACAACTCTACTTGGTTGTGTTTCAACGCTCTCAAGGTTGATTGATCACACTCTTGGATGATCTGAATGAATGAAATGAGAAGCCTATTTATAGGAAAGATTAGCACACCACCATTGACAACATTTAGCACACCATTGTTGAAAGTGTATGTGAAAGAAGGTTGGTGGATGGTGGTGACTAGCCATATTCTTCATTGGTGTGCTCTGATACTAGACTTTTTTTTTTACTGTGCTGACATGGCAGCTGACTGGGCAGACTTGCTGACGTGGCAGATGACTGGACTGCTGATGTGGCGAAATTGGGACCCTCCTTGATGATGTGGCAGGTGATGTGGCAGCTGACTTGGACTGCTGACGTGGCTGATGACTGGGTCTTCCTCGCTGACGTATCAAGCGTTGTGGCGCCACGTCATCGTCTTCTTCACCAGAATTTTTTTTTTTTTT